TCTTACTACCTCTAGTGTTCTCTGGTTCAAGACACTAGCATTATTTGCATTGTTTAAACAGTCTCTTACCTGGTCTTCCTACAAACCTTTATCCACCATATATCCTCAACACAGCAGCCAGAACCTTCCTAATAAAACTCATGTTAGACCACATCACATCTCTGTTCAAAACCCTCCAAGAATGACCCAATTCACTCACAGTGAAAGCTGAAGTCTATAAAGGCCCATCAATTCCTCTATTTTAGCTGCACTGACTGATCCACTGGTTGTTCCTTGAACAGCCACATTCAGCCCTCCTGTAAGACCTGAGGCAGGGCCTCAGCCTCTAACATTTTCTCCAGGATGCCAGCAAAGACCTTCAGCTAATATGCCTTCTGAGTTTATTCAAAATCTTTTTCCCTATTTACAGTGATTCTACCCACCCTATTTAAATTGTAATGGTGTCAACAATGAAGGTATTCCTGTTAATCCTCCTCAAAGTTTCTTCTCTTTTATAACTTTATTATTTTTATTTATGAGTGTATTGCCTACATGTACATTAAGTACACCTATCTGTGTAGTATAAAGCCCATGGCGGTCATAAGAGAGCATTAGATTCCCCTGGAACTGGAGTTATGAACAGTTGTTAGCCACCTTGTTGGTTCTGGGAGTCGAACCAAGGTCCTCTGTAAGAGCAGCCAGTACTCTTAATGGGAAAGCCATCTCTCCAGCCCCACGGTACACATTCTTAACTGCACAGTCATCCTTCAGCCTGGAGTTTCTTCTCTTTAACACTTGTCATACTTTGATACATCATTTATTTTTTAAAATTTGGTCTTTTTGAGACAGGGTCTTCCCTGTAGCCCCAGCTGGCCTGGAGCTCACTATGTAGACTAGGCTGGCCTCGAACTCACAGAGATCCACCTGCTTCTGCCTCCCAAGTGCTGGGATTAAAGGCGTGCACCACCACACACAGCCATTTACTATTTATTTAGAGATGGTGTGTCACTCTAGTCTCAGATGACCTAGAACTTACTACATAGGCCAGACTGGCTCTAAGCTTGTAGTGATCCTCCTGCTTCATTCTTCTAAGTACTGGGATTACAGACATGAACCACCATATCCAGTTTCATTTACCCTTTTCATTTTTCTTTTTTGAGACAGGGTCTTACTACTATGTAGTCTGAGTTTGTCTTAAACTTGTGATCCTCCTGCCTACAAGTGTACATAGGCCACCATGCCCAACCCTTATTTACTGTTTATGTTGTTTACTGTCACCTGCTCTAGAATGGCTCCTCCACTAGGACAGGAGCGTCTGCTTTATTTATTTTATACCCGGGGTACCTAGAACCTTGCTTGGCATGTAGATGATACCATGAGAAAATTTAGTAAGAGCATGACTGAATAGGGCAGAATTAAAACGGGATGCCAATTCTTTTTATTTTATACACAGATCAGACTTTCCCCCAAAGAAGCAAAAAAAAAAAAAAAAAACCTATTTCTTTATCACAACACAACCAAAATGATACAAAAACCATACTACTTCCTTTCACTTCCAGCCCTGTTTTGTGTCAAGATCCAGTAAGAAATAAGTTCCACTGTTTTCATGCATATCTCCTCAGGTTTGAGATATAAATAAAAGGTCAAAAGAGAGACTTGTATAAACATCATTTCCACAAATTAACAATAGTGCTTACAGCAAATAATGGCTTGGGTTTTACTTTTATAGTGGCATACAGTTATGCCATTTCACTTCCAGCCCTGTTTTGTGTCAAGATCCAGTAAGAAATAAGTTCCACTGTTTTCATGCATATCTCCTCAGGTTTGAGATATAAATAAAAGGTCAAAAGAGAGACTTGTATAAACATCATTTCCACAAATTAACAATAGTGCTTACAGCAAATAATGGCTTGGGTTTTACTTTTATAGTGGCATACAGTTATGCCAAGTTAAATAATTGTGAAACATAGACACACACATACACAGATACAAACATAGACATACATACACATAGACTAAATTCAACGAACTCCCAATAAGCAGATATAATGACAGGTTCAAAGATGGTATGCATATAAAAATTGTAAGTCTCTAATTGCAGCAGGGGGATACTGTTACGATAATAAGAACAGCAGGTGGATATTAAAATTTGATCTTTAACAACTCCTTTCTGATAAGCATGACTCACAAACTACAAAACCTCACAATTTTCTTTTGTCCTTTAGGACAATGAACACTCATAATTCTAAAGTGGTCTATACCTATAACCCTGGCACTCATAAGGCTAAAGCAGTTGGATTGCCATGAATTTGAGGCCAGTCTGGGTAAACACTGAGTTCTAGGCTCGCTTGGGCTACACAGTGTGACCGTCTCAAAAAAAAAAAAACCAAAAAATCAAGCCCACAAGACAGCTACCTCGACAAGTAGAGTATCAGTGGATGTAAGGTACAGAATTCACCAGTGGACTGTCAAAAGTTCTATGTTTAGTAACAAAGCACAGGAGCTGGAATTCAACCCCTAAAATATATGAAAATTAAATCAAGTCTGGGAGATGGTACTCGAGACATCTTTAAGACACTGATGACATATAAGTTCATGCCTGAATAATGGGTGAATAGAGGAAATGAAGTATTCCAGATTAGGAATCAGAAGAACATGACAAGTAAGAGAGTGAGATCAGTAAAACTGAGCTCACAACAAGTATTTGACCACTCCTTGACCCTCAGATACAGGTGGGAAAAACAGCTGTTGAAATTAATTGAGTTAAGCAAACAGTGGCTATCTCTGATGTTCTTCTGTATAAAAAGGCAGAGCTAAAATAAACCGGGGCTGCAGTCTCTACTGACAGTCCTCCCAAGTATCTTTTTCTCTGTCTCTTGTTTTTTCTTTCAATCCTCACTCCCCATTTCAGGTACTGTCTGTCTTGGCTGGCTGGCACCAGCAATATACATAAATAAAATAAAATAATAAATAAATATATCTTTCCTTCTTGTCTGAGCATGTGATCACAGCAATGAAAGACTAATATAGATGTTAAAAATATGTACATAAGAATTAGAGAACAAGAATGGTTACCAAAGGAAGTAGAAAAAAATATGTGAAAACTTATTAAATATATAATGAAAAGTAGAGTTAATCTAAAACCAAACACTAGTGCTTTGAAAAGACTTATGAAGCCAGGTGTGGTGGCGCACGCCTTTAATCTCAGCACTTGGGAGGCAGAGGCAGGTGGATCTTTGTGAGTTCCAGGCCAGCTGGGGCTACAGGGAGACCCTGTCTCAAAAAGACAAAAAAAAAAGAAAAGACCTATGAAACAAATATAGCTCTAGGAAGCTTTATCACATTGTAAAGTCACAATAAATAATATTAAGTGTGAGGAGTACTAACAGCAAAAATTATAATTATTAATATTAGATTATAACAAAAATAATATTAACAGTCAACATTTAAAAGCTTCAACCACTGAGAATGTAGCTCAGTAGTAGAGTCATCGTCTAGCACGCACAAGACCCTAGGTTCAATCCCTAGCACTGCTCTTTCCCACCCCTACCAAAAAAAGCCCTTTAAAAACAGATCTATTGAATGAGGGAGATGGCTTAGAGGGTAAAGACACTTGCTGTCAAGGCTGATGGCTTGAGTTAGGACCTACACAATGGAAAGAGAGAATTGACTCTCTCAACTTGTCCACACGTACAGTGGTAGGTATCCGCCAATAATAAATAAATAAATGCAATAAAAAATATTTTGAAAGCTTTGTCAGGAAATATTCTAGATACTTCATCTAATCCTCATGCAAACTTTTTAAGACAGGTATTCTCACTATGCATAATTTATAAAATTGAAAATCAAGAAGTATTACCCGATTTCCTTCTTCCCTCTCCCCCTCTTTCTTCCTCTCCCTTGGTACTGGGGACTGAATCCAGGACCATGCACATGCTAGCAAGTGTTCTACGAAACTACCCCCACCTCTTTTTATTTTTTTGAGACCGGTCTCATTCAGGTTACCCAGTCTGGTCTCAAAAATCTCTATCCTCCAGCCTCAGCCCCTAAAATGACTGAGAGTAGGGATTTGTGCCTCCATGCCAACCATTACATGATTTTCTAGAATGAGAGCAAGATGGTAGAGAATACATGAACAGGTCAGTGAACTATAAACACAGGTCACTAAGATGGAATGGGGTAGAACAAAAGGCAGTGAGAAAAGGAATGGGAGTTGAGGGCAGGAGAAGGATTTTAGCTTTGGTGTATGTTGTTCAAATTTTTATGTATCACTTATGTAATCTCTTCAAAATTAAAAAACCGTTTCTGAGACACCCAGATTAGAAATTACCTCACAACTAATTGGAACTATAGGATGATAATGAATGCCCAATGAAGTCATTAGGATGGCAGACAAAGTTATGAGCTGAAATGCCACAAAAGACATAAAAAGATGCTGCTATGGCTTAGATGAGCATCCCCTGAAGGTCCATGAGTCTCCATCTTGGTCCCAGGGTGGCACAGCTGGGCAGTAGCAGTCTTTTTAAGTGAGGCTTCTAGGAAGCCATCAGGTTGCAGGGAGCATGCCTCTGAATAGGACAAATGGGACCCTGGTCTCTTCCTCTTTTATTCCTGGTGCTTACTAGGTAAACAGTTTGCTCTGCAATGGAGTCCTACCATGACATGCTGCTGCTTTGTTAGAGGTCCAAAGCAAGAGGATCATTTATCTTAGACTGGCATCCCGAAAACTGAACCCAAATAAATCTTTTGTCTTATGATAAGGGGAACTGACTGTTTCAAATGCAACTGGATCCTGGGGCAGGTCTTAAAGAGGTTCAATATTTATTTATAAGACGATGAAAATAAGTTAGAATTACTTATTAATTTATAAGCAAGTTAACTCAAGAAACTAAACAGCTAACACAAAGTTACGGTGTTATAAGGAAATAAAGTTCAAATGAAGTTGCAGTGGTAACATAACGACATTTTCAATAATTAAGAATTTCATATTACTTGATTTTAAAAAAATATTTTTTCCTTACCTCAGAGATGTGGCTAGATAAAACTGTACTTCCAATTTTCTCCAAACAGCTTTGACCTATGCTTCCATCTCATGAATTCCAAGTCAGTATTAAATGGATGCATATTTTCATGAATCTGCTTTTAAAAGAAAGACTTACTTAAGACAATTTTTACTGTCAGACTAAAACATGTAAAAAGCAGCACTAAAGATATTTCATGAATAAAATTATTCATTTTCAAAATAAAGTCAATGAAAAGTTACTGGTCAAAGCAAAACAAAAAATTAGCTCTGTGGGAAAAGAAGTAATTAGCTATAAAATGTCAATGTTGATAGTGTTAATAAACAATTTCGAAACTAAGAACTGATGGAAACAGCACTGCAATGTACAAGTCTCTCCTAGACCTACCTTTTCCTCCCTTATCACAAATTCTTTTTTTTTCTTCACAGGAGTCAGTTCTCTCCCTCCACCATGTGGATCCTGGGGATCATACTCAGGTGGTGAAGAAGCACCTCTGTCTGATAAGTCATCTCGCTGGCCCTCTACCACAAAATCCCATCCCCTGCTCCCCCTCTCCCCCCAACCTCCCGCTTTAAGACAGGAGCTCACTTTGTAGTTCTGGTTGGCGTGGAACTACATAGACCAAGATGATCTCGAACTCACAGAGATCCTCTGCCTGTTTCCAGAGTGCTGGGATTAAAGGTATGCACCATCTCACCAGGCCACAAAATTTTAATAACAAGTTTTAATTTCATTCCAACTCCTACTTAGAGCATTAAGATTCCTGAGGGTTGCAAATTGATTGCACTATTGGTTCAATTCTAAGGGACAGACTTTTTTTTTTTTTTTTTTTTGTCTTTTTGAGAAAGGGTCTCCCTGTAGCCCCAGCTGTCCTGGAACTCACTATGTAGACAAGGCTGGCCTTGAACTCAGAGATCCGCCTGCCTCTGCCTCCCGAGTGCTAGGACTAAAGGCGTGCACCACCACGCCCAGCATAAGGGACAGATTTTAACCATGTTAATACTGTACTTAGGAGTCTTACTGCTTTCAAAAGACAACCATTCATAAATCTGCAAGATGAAAACCACTAAAAAAATTTTAATGTATTTAAAAATATGTGTCATGTTTACTTAAGAGCTTGTTGTTTGAGACAGGGTCTCACTATGAACTCCAAGCATAGAAGTCACTGTCCTCTTGCCTACAGGCATCTACTACTATGTCTAGCTTGAGATTTTAAATACAATTCCACAGAATGAATTTTTAACTAGAACTTCAAAATAGGAAGCACTGTTTCATATTTCAAAAGGAAACTTTCAAAGGCCTTATGAACATTACCTATGCCTCACTACCAGTAAGTACAATGGCACTGCCTGTATCACACTGCAGTTTGATAGTCTTGGCAATAATAACTAAGTTCACATAAACTGGGACAACTCAAAATGGTCAGCAGACAGCAGTCTTCCTCAAAAACAAGAGTCTCCATCCAGCAGATGGGCTACCATAGCAAAGTCTTTCACTGCCGAAGAAAAGAGCCTGTCCCTGAAAGTAAAGTAATTGTTGGGTCTGCATTTAGGAGCCTTTAAGGGTCTCTTCAATACACTAGTCATCCACAACATAGCGAGGTCCCAAACATTTTTCATATGACTATGAAACTCTGAGACTCACTAAGAGAAATGAGAAAGGGTACATATGGAGACTTGGAAGGATGGGGTTTTAGCTGTTGTTATTGTTTTTTAACCTAAGACCCTTATAATCTTGAATAATTTCTCTTAAACTAATATTGTAAAAATACATGTTTCTGCTTTAGAAATGGCACGAGGGTTTTATTCTGAAGTTATTTTGGAGGGAACTACACTAGTCCTCTCTGGCAGTGTGTGAACAAGTAGGGAGAGGAGATAATTACAGCATTAGGTTTAGATCAATCTATTATAAAAGTAAAAATAGTCCATCGATACCTTTGTTAAAACAGCCTAATTTTAATTCTACCAGATATTTATAATGGCTCAAAATAAATAACATGTAAATCATTATTAATTATAACACTAATTATTATAACATTGTCTCCACAGCTAAAAAAAAAGCTTTGAGCTTAGGGGCTGGAGAGATGGCTCAGTGGTTAAGAGCTCTGGCTGTTCTTGCAGAGGACCGAGGTTTCATTTCCTCGCACCTACATGGCAGCTAACCATTGTCCATAACCCCACTTCCAGGGAATCCAATGCTTTCCTCTGGTCTCTGCAGACATTGCACAACATAGGTGCACTTATATACATGCAGACAAAACACTCATACACATAAAAATAAGTTGGTTTTTTTTTTTAAAGATTTGAGCTTTAGGGGCTGGAGAGATGGGTCAGCGGTTAAGAACACTGGTTCTTCTTGCAGAAGACCCGGGTTCGAATCCCAGCACCTACGTGGCAGCTAACAACTGTCCATAACTCCAGTTTCTGGGGATCCGACAGCCTCTTTTGTCCTCCACAGGCACTGCACAACATGGGTGCACTTACCTACATGCAGGCAATACACACACATACACATAAAATAAAAATAATAATAAAAGATTTTTTAAAAGATTTGAGTTTTAACCTAATTTTTAAAAAGGAAAGCACATTATCCACCCCAGTTTTCAAATACACCACCTTCAAGAGTCCAGTTCAAGAGTCCAGGTTGTCTATTCTACTGTTCTCTCATATGTAAAACACTCACTAAAAGGAACTGCAGGAAGGCTTTTCAAAAAAATTAATCTTTAGACTTCCTAAGAAAAATCGAGTACTATTTTACGTGTTACTCAAAAGTAAACCAAAGATGACCCCAAAAAACAGGTGCTTCACAGTACAAGTCTACAAATAATTAATCCTTTGTACATACTAGAATTATATACACGCATAGGTATAGGATTTACATATGCAAAATGGTCCAAACTTTAATTACTTAGAACACAGCCTTGTAGCACTGTAAATATGTGTTCAACAAGTTTAACTTGTGTTCAATAAGGGATGCTTGTAAAACCCAAACCCTGGGGCCAGTGAGATGGCTCAGCAGGTAAAGGTGCCTGCCACCAAGCCTGATGACCTGAGTTCAATCTCTGGGACCAACATGGTGGAAGGAGAGAATTGAGTTCTGCAAGTTGCCCTCTGACCTCCACACTCGTGCCATGTCACGAGTGCGCATACACAAACACATATACAGAAATAAAAATGTAATTTTAAAAAGACAATGGGGTTTTTTGTTTTTTTTTCAGACAAGGTCTATGTAGACGCAACTTGCCTGGAACTCACTGTGTAGACCAGGCTGGCCTTGAATTCACAGAAATCCACCTGCCTCTGACTCCCAAGTACTAGATTAAAGGCAGCAACACCAAAGATTTAGGGCTGGAATTTTCAAGCATGTTAAAGTAGAAAAACTTCAAAGTAATCTTGTTTCTGCTCAGGCTGAATGTGTGTGCTGGATAGCTTGAGTTATCAATTTGACACACTTGGGAAGAGGGAACTTCAGAACTAAGGAACTGTGGCCATGTCTGTGGGCATTTTCTTGATTACTGAGTGATGTGAGACAGCTCAGCTCACTATGGGTAAGCAGGTGGTCCTGTATTGTTTAAGAAAGCAGGCTGAGCCCCAGGGAGCAACCCAGTAAGCAGTGTTCCTTTGTGGTAGGTACATGTGTCCTGATGCCAATGATTACATAAATAATATTACATGTTTGGGGGGGGCACATACACCCATGGGTATATATTATGGAGGCCAGAGGTTGATGTTGGATGTCTTTTCCTCTAGCACACTCCATCTTTTTGAGATACAAGTCTCTCACTGAATCTGAAGCTCACCAATGGGTTAGACTGGTTGGACAGCAATCCCCAGGGATCCTTGAGGTTATAAGAACATGCCGCTGCATCCTGCTTTTTACAAGGTACTGAGGATCTGAACTGAGGCCCTGCTGCAGGCACTTTACTAAACAATCTCTCCAATCCTCTACATTTATTTAAATGGCACAGAACCATTCATACAAAATGTACAACTCAGATCCTAGCAGCCACCCTGAGAGGGTGGGTTCGGACCTCCATCGGGGTAGCTGCTAGGAGCTCCAGACTGCCAGACCAGAGAGTGCGGGGTTCTGGCCTCCTTCTGGTCTCCAACTACCAGAGGGCCAGAGAACCCAGGGGGACAGCCTGACAGCTCCCAGATCCTGCCTCCACGTGGTGGTGAGCTTCCCCTAATTGCACCATATCATCCTCCTACCTAGGATTTTGTGAGGCCCCTCCCAAGGCCCCAGGGCAGATCTGGCTTTGGTAGGCTAAGGCTGGGAGCTCAGCAGACCACCAAAGAGTGCCGAGCTCTGGCCCCCCTCTGGCCTCCCCTCTGGCATAGGGTTGACAACTCACAGGACTGCCTGAGAGACAAGGGATCCTGCCTCCATGGTGAAGGAAGCCTGAGTGTACCTGACTGAAACCTGAATTGGGCTTCTGTGGGTACCCCTGAATAGCTGATCTGAAGCTATCAGTTCCCTCCAAAATAAACCTAAAAGAACCTGAATCCTGTACCAATCTGCTTTATATAACCAATAAAGAAAGGATCTAGGCACCCAGATAATATAAAGAGAAAAATACTTCAACTTAATTCTCATATCAGAATTATAAACAACAATAGAAATTCACAAGCCGAAACTACCGTGAAAGAATAATAAAATGGAAAGCAAAAACACTATGTGCCCACCAAACTCCACTAATCCTGTAGAATTCTTCAGTGAGAACTACCTAGAGGAACCCCAGGACACATAATTCAAAAGAACAGTCATGAACATGATCAAATAATTCAATGAATTTAAAGAACATACAAACAAACAAAGAACTAAAAGAAGATAGGGATAAACATCTGAATGAATTCACAAAAGAGATAGAAACATTGAAGAAAACTCAGGCAGAAATGAAGAAGGAAGTGCAAAACTCAGTAAGTCGACTTGAAACAAGAGGGGAAAGCCTCACCTCTAGAACGAATGAAATGGGAAACAGAATATCAACACTGGAGGATAAAGAAGAATTGGACCACTCAAGCAAAGAGTATGGAAAAATTTAAAAAACACAGGAATGGAATATGCAAGAGATGTGGGACACCATGAAAAGACCAAATCTGTGGATCAGAGAAT